AGCAAGTTGTAAAAAAGGTGGCAAAGGCTGAGTATGAGAGAAGGTAGTAGTGTGTGGCAGGGCAGTCAGGTGGTGGGATGACGAGATTAGCATAAGATAGAGCAGAGAAATGAGCTGCAAGAAAATTCTTGAGGGTCAGGATTATCGTATGGGGAGGAATCATAGTTAACTGCGTAGGAGGTGAAGAATTTAGTGTTCAGAAGAGCTTGAGGTTGTGGAACGATGTTGTGTGCAAGGGGAAAAATGGAGCAAAGAGCAATTTAGATTTTGAGGTAATAGGAAAGAAGATTGGGCATTGTTGGTTTAGATGAGAAGGACAAAGAGTAAGAGGAGATACAGCTTTGAGGAATAGTGCTGAGGGTGTCAGTGACCAGCTACATAAAGGCCCAAGTGGAGTGTTGTTAAGAAGCGATATCAGCAGTTGGGCACTTTGTCGTGTAGTGTTGATACAGCCTTGATGATTGTTGGACAGAGGAAGTGGATAGAAAGTGTGTGGTGAGTTTCCAACACGCTGTATGGAAAATGTATGATAGGGAAATAGATTTGGAGAGATTAGCGCAGGTGTGTGTTACGAAGTTGAAGTATAATACGGGACTGGTGGTAGTGATGGGCTTGCGGGGAGCTCTAACGCAATGTCAGGGATGGTAGAGTACTGAAACAGTTGTTTACAGTAAGTAATTGGCGTGAGGGTTTGTGCCACCACAGTGGAGGTGGATGGGGCTCAGAAGTTAACCTGTGTGTAAGAAGGGAGATAGAGATAAGCTCCTGGGAACTTATAGGGGCATCACTCTGCTGAGTGGGGTTGGATGGGGAAGGTCTTTTGTAAGGTATTGAACAATAGGTTGGTGAAGCATCTGGACGAGGGCAAAGCATTGCATGAGGGCCAGGCTGGTTTTAGGGTTGGAAGGGGTTGTGTTGATAATATTTATACGCTGAATGAACTCGTGCAGGGTAGACTAAAGGAGGGGAAGGAGACATATGCATTCTTTCTAGATGTGCAGAAGGCATACGATAGTGTGTGGCGTAACGGCCTGTGGTTTAAGTTGTGGGAATTTGGGGTAAGACGGAAGATGTGGAGGGTCATAAAGAAGATGTACGAGTATTCAAAGAGTGCTGTATTGTTGGATGGGGAACGGTCAGAGGCATTTGATGTGGTAGCTCAGGGATGTAGCTTATCTCCAATTTTGTTTTCCGTATTTATCAATGGGTTGTTGAGGGAGGTGGAGGAAGCTGAGATTGGAATCGATTTAAGTAGTGGTGGGAGACTTGGAGGCCTTTTGTTTGCAGATGACTTCGTGGGTGTTAGTGAGTCTAAGGATCAGTTACAGACGCTTATAGATGTGGTGCAAGCCTACTGTCGAAAATGGAGGCTAAAGGCTAATGTGAGTAAGAGTGCAGTGATGGTGTTCGCTAGGGAGTTAGGGGATGGTGCTTGGAAATGGGGGGAGTATGTTTTGCCTAGAGTATCTAAATACACATTCTTGGGTGTTGATTTTACTAGTACTGGTGCATGGGATGTGCATATCAAGAATGTGTTAGACAATAGTAGAAGGAAGGTTAATCAGTTGCATAGTGTAATTAGTAATAGGGATATTAATTTGAGTGCTCGCAGGTTGTTGTTGCTGGCGGTGGTTAGGCCAACTTTAGAGTATGGGGGTGAGGTGTGGGAAGCCAATAAGACTCAGGCAGCTGCATTGGAGTCCGTTATGCTGGGAGGAGCTAAGCGCATTCTTGGGTGTTCGTCTAAGACATGTAATGAAGCCGTTAGGGGGGATATGGGGCTTGATACGTTACAAGGGCGTAGGGATAAGAATAAGTTGAAGTGGTGGTATAAGTTAGCAGCATTGCCAGGCAATAGGTATCCGAAGAAGCTTTTTAATCAGGAATGGAATTTTAAGCCACGGAGAGGCAGGCAGAGGAAGGGTTGGAGTAAGGCCATTGATGATCTCTTTTCGTCATTAGGTCTTGACAAGGCAGAGTGGTTGCATGATATTCAAAATGGGGATTGCTCCTTGAAGGGCTTTTTGTCTATAATAGGGGGACAGTATTAATGAGAGGGAGATTTAGAAAGTTTGAAGAGGGGCTAAATAGCAAAGTAAAGCTGTTATTGTATAAGACATTTAACAAGGTGGTAGAGTTCAAAAAGTACTTGCATGGGAAAAGTGATGCTGGGTCTAGATTAATGTGTTCAGGTCAGGCACGCATGGGCTAAATGAGGAACTGGGCAGGCATAGGGGGAGGGAGGGGGTGAAAGAGTGCCTGTTGTGTGATGATGAGTGTGAAAGTGTGAGTCATGTGTTGTGGGAGTGTCCAGCATATAGTAGTCTTAGGAGCAATTTCTTAGTTGCCCTGCAGGGGAAGCTTGGGGATGATGGGTTTGAGCATTTCCAGTCGCTTGATAGTTTCAGGAAAGCATCCTTTATATTGGGTAGTGAACTGTGGGAGGATAATTTTGGTTCTTTGCTTGGCCTTGTTAAAGATTTTATTTTGGATGTTTGGGAGCTAAGAAAGGTTAGGTTATACGGCGATAGTCCCTGTGTACAACAAACCCAGTCTCAGATTGCGTCTGGGGAGCTGCAGGGTGTCGCTGGTGGAAGGGGTGAGTTGAGGTGTCTGGGAGGTGAGACAGACACCTCATGTTCATATGGTGTATGTTCGTGTGTTAACGGTTCCGCCCATTGCTCTGGGTGCGTGGTCTATGGCCCTAGTGCTATGGCAGCCACCTGAGTATTATTATTACTCCTCAAACTTGCTAACTGTAGCACGCATGGAGGTGAAACTTGGTGTGCATGTGTATTACATTGTTTCCATGACGACCACAACAACAAATAGCCTCAGGCAATATTCTTTAATATTAGTTCTTCACTCCTCAAACTTGCTAACTATACCACACATGGAGATGAAACTTGGTACGCATGTGTGTAACATCGTTTCCATGACACGACCACAACAACAAATAGCCTCAGGCAATATTCTTTAATATTAGTTCTTCACTCCTCAAACTTGCTAACTATACCACATATTGAGGTGAAACTTGGTGCGCATGTGTATTACATCGTTTCCATGACAACTACAACAACAAATAGCCTCAGGCACTTTTCTTTAAAATTACTTCTTCACTCCTCAAACTTGCTAACTGTAGCACGCATGGAGGTGAAACTTGGTGCGCATGTGTATTACATCGTTTCCATGACGACCACAACAACAGGCACTTTTCTTTAAAATTACTTCTTCACCCCTCAAACTTGCTAACTGTAGCACGCATGGAGGTGAAACTTGGTGCACATGTGTATTACATCGTTTCCATGACAACTACAACAATAAATAGCCTCAGGCACCTTTGTTTAAAATTACTTCTTCACTCCTCAAACTTGCTAACTATACCACACATTGAGGTGAAACTTGGTACGCATGTGTGTAACATTGTTTCCATGACGACCACAACAACAGGCACTTTTCTTTAAAATTACTTCTTCACTCCTCAAACTTGCTAACTGTAGCACACGGCTGTTTCGATTGCGCGTTTTCGGGACATTAAGTTGTACGATGACGTAATTCTGAAATTTTGAAATTGTCGCCGACGCTTGTTCCGTTCCGTTTCTAGGCAGCTCTTGCGGCGCACACGTGTCGTTTCTGCTGAGTTGGCAGTGCTGGCTTTGTGGACGAGACTTCGCTGAGCGTTTTCGTCCAAGCCGTTTCAAAATCCGCCGAACGTGGACTGCCTTACGTTCCCAAGTAGTACGGTCGACTCAAGCGGTCTTACTGTTCACTTGCGAATTTTCTCAGAAACGGATTTGCGCCATAAACAAGGCCAAAGGATGTACCATGCCCAGGGACCTGAAGTTATTCTACTTCGCATTTTTTCTTATGCGTGGCAGAGCAAAAAAGATCTTGGTTTTTATGATACGCAATTCTTCATGTAAGTTTGATAACGTAACTAATGTGTATGTGTAGCTGTCACTCTTCGGCGATCTTCCTGCGCTTTGTAGGGGGTTGTGCGGCGACGTGACTGGGTAGGCTTTTGAGAAGGTGTTCTGTAACTACCCGTCGTAGCCTCTCCACGCGGTCGTGGCGCTGGTTTCGGTGCCTTTGCTCTATCCTATTGAATTCGGCATGGATGCTCTCTGCCCCTTGCTCGCCCATTACCCCGAATCCAACTCCACCCCACTTCCTGATCCAGGGTGCCATGTGGTCCTCAAGGAGATGAAGCTTGGGGGTCACAGTTGCATGTGGGTGTGTCTGTCTGTAGTGCTGAAGGAAGGTCTTTATGTCTGTTTCTGCAGATTGAATACTACGTTCCTTGCATCCATTCCTGAAAAACGAACTTACCAAGAGTTGATATCGTTGCTTCTGAGAGGTACTTGTTGCTGTACTTGTTGTGGCATGCTGCAAACAAAGTGAAAGTGTCAACGAATTGTCGACAGACAGCTCTGGCCGACTCCAAAAGGGGTGGGCACTCCTCTGCCACTGTCACCACAGATTGACACAGTGTGTTGATGTTTTCAGCCTAGATGCAGAGTGTGATATTACGTCAAGCAATGATTATGTGTATGTTTACCTTGAGACACCTATGAACATGGTTGCCTACAAATGTCCCACCATAGTAGGCTTCACGTTGGACATTGAAGCCTTTGAGAGCTCTGTCGAGGCCTATGATGAAAGGACCTTCCTCCATCCTGAAGCCTTTCTCTATGTCACTCTTGACCTTATCAATCTCTCTGTCCTATTATGTATAATATGTATAAAATTATCTTATGTATATTATTTTCATCATACCAGTTCGTGTGCCTTCTTCCTGCACTCAGTAATGCCCTGTTCAACATAGTTGATCTGTGCACGCGCAGAATCTTCGGAAGTGGCTGTTAAAGCCATTCTTGGTACCAACTCCTCTAGCGCTGCTATGGCCTGCACGTGGGCATCTCTCTCCTCGGTGAGTTGGTGGAGTTTCTCAATTTTTTCCCTATACTCGCCAAACGTTTCACCGCCCAGCTCTCCACCGCTCCTCTCCTGTGCAAATTGCAAATCTAACTGGTGAGCTGCCTGTTCCAGTAGTGTGTACAGGCGATAGAATATTCCCAGGCTTATGTGTAGTGCAGGTAAACATATCTGAAAATAGATCCATCGTCAAGTGGTACACAATTTGTGTAATTATAATACCTGGTCTATTTGTATATCCCACATGTGTGGCTGTATGACATTGTTGAATTTCTTGGCATGTTTTATGTTCCCACCACTCAGTAGGAACTGCTGGTGATCCCTCTTCAAGGTGTCCAAGGTCCGTGGCTGGGAGTACCCACGTGTGTGGAGTGGTGTCCTTAGCTGGTCACTGGATATTTCACACCAGAGACAGCAGTGACGACCTACATTGATTTTGGTTACTCTTAACCAAATAGATCCAATAGTCTAACCTGAAGCCCCAGAGAGACCATACATCCGGCAAAGGAATTCATAATCCCCACTGAGGAAGACTCTCACTCTCTTCCCACTGTAAGTATGTATGTACGTATGTACGTACATATGTAAGGACATTTTTATTGGATATTGTATATACCTCCAGGTCAGTGATTGGAGCTGGATCACCTGCTCCTTATAACGCTCAAGGGCTATATGGAGATTCGTGAAGGTGTCAGGTGCTTCAAATGCCGTGAAAACTGATGTGTTCTTTGGTGAGTTTGGTGTGGGCACGTTGCATAACTGTGCCTGGACCTTCATACACGAACCCCCTTTGTCCCCTCCCAACTTCACCCAAACCTCTCCCTCCAGCATGCCCTTGTCCCATGTGATCCGACAAGCTCTAATTTGTTAAAAGAGGCACAAAAGGTGATGTAAATGTCTTTGGCAAATGACTGGTTGTTATCATCCAGCAATTGCAGCAAGTGGTCCTGCAAGTACTTCCAGATAAAACAGAGTGATGCCCGTAGTTCCTCCCAGTATGCCCTCGCTTTGGGAAGGAGAAAGGGACAACTTCTCTTTCACTTTCTCTAAACCCCTGGACCCTTTCCTTGGTTTCTTCTCTCCTCCATCTGTACTCCCATATCCTCAGCACCTATATTATTATTAACTATAGCTACGCAATTTAATACTATAACTCACCTTCTCAACTGTCTCAACTGATTCCATGGGAGGCCGATGTCGCATTCTCATTGCCAGTCGGGCGCTGCGCCGTTCTGTGTATGGTTTCTAGAGAGACCACTCTGGCTATCTGAGAATGTGTGGAATGTAACAAAGGAAGCTTGGCGGCCCCAACGAAGGCCCCAGCCTTCTTCCCGGAAACCGCGACGAAATTCCCGAATCTTGCGGCGAAGCCCGTAAACTAAGGTAACGGTCATACCGTAATGTTCTAAATTA